CTATTTTATAACTCTGAAATCATCAAAAATTTCGTTATGTTAACAACAATTAATACTCAAAATTCATGATTAAATAATTACAATAATATATGAACTTGGCATCTATTAAAGCGTACACAATGTATCTGTGTTAAGGACGTATACTAGAGAGATCTTTATATATAAACAACAATTATATAAAGGTAAAAAGTAAAATCTTGATGAGTGTGTCGAGGTCAAAACTTAGAATTTATAATTAATTTTAAAATAGAGAAAGTGATTTCTGACTGCACAGTAGACAATAGACTAGAAAAAACTATAAATGCCTACATTCCTATCTTATAAAGTTTATATTTCAACTATAGATAAAAACTTTTCCTCTTATTTTAAATGAATTTCAATTGTGACATATATTTTACGCCCAAGTATTGGAATTTTAATATTATTTTATAAAGAAAAGTCTTTTATGAGAATTTTTTTACGTATCTGAAAATAAATTGGACCTAACAAATACTTCATATAACAAGGAAAATTAATAAATACCTGTGTAGAAGTTACTATTCTCCTAACAGAAGTGTATTGTTCGTTTGGAATGTTCTGTTGCAAGCAAGACATATGGAAAGTTTTATTAAAGAATTTTTATATTAAAATAAATGACAATTTCCATTCTATATTTATTCTTAATATTATAATAAACTTTTCTTTTGTATATTTCCTGTTAATATTCCTCTTACAACCATAAAAAAGATAATAATAATAAGAGTAATTTGTNTATAATAAACTTTTCTTTTGTATATTTCCTGTTAATATTCCTCTTACAACCATAAAAAAGATAATAATAATAAGAGTAATTTGTTTGAATAAATGCCTAAAGGTACTAATGAATAAGCATCTACTTATACTTATTTAAAAAGTAACATTTAATTTAATTATTTCTTCTGTAATTATTACTAAATATAAATATAATTTGTTCTGTTTTTTCAACACTATGTAGTGCAACCACTGGACCACTTAGCCTTTTTCACAATAATATTTATTCTGCTATTATTGAAAAATTGTATATTATAATTTGAATATAAAGTGAAAGAAAAATTACATTTAAAAATATTAAATTTAAATATTTTAATATTTATTAACATATAATAAAGTTATATAATGTGACGTAGACCTACCGAATCCATCTCCTAACACATCAGCTTTATAAAATCGGCGACAGTATATAGGACACAAGTTCGGACCTCAATAATGACTTGAATTTCAATTGATTTTTAATCATTTATGTAAATTAATAAAGTAATAATTAATTTATTTTAAATTAATTTTTTTATTGACAAATTTACGTACATTTACTTGATTATATAAGTGTTTTAATATACACTGGTGTTGCCTCAGGGTACCGTTGTTCAACCATGCTTTTACTTATGCACTTTAATAAAACAAATAGGCTATATGTCGATTTTGCCCCATTTTCAGTTCCTTGCCATTAATAAGATACAATTTATATAAATATCACAACATTGAATATGAAGTCTTAAGTAACCAGTTAAGATATATAAAGGCTGCTTAAACTTGAATCATCATAGAGCACAATATGTTGGATATAAAATATATTGCTATAGTTTTATTGATTCAGCTTTGTATTTCTTATGCTGAACATAATAATGTATTCGATTATATAATAGGTAGGTCTTTTTTATTTTACTAATATTTAAATTTGATAAATTCATTATTTATTATTACTTAAAGTTAATGAAAGATGATTATACATTACACATGTCTACTGAAATTACTATTATATTTCCATAAATTATTTTAATTTTTAGTTCGTGTAAAAGTGAGTGATCGTATGATAGATTAAATACGTTTTAAAAAATGGTATTGTTAAATAGATATTTGATAAAATTGTAGACATATAAATTCTCACTGTCGCTTAGCTTTTCAAGATTAAGGACAGATATGCTTGTCTGCCTTTAATCTTGAGAATGGAGATAAGATTCGGAGCAAGTAACCTCGATTAACTACATAAGAACTTCCAGTAGAGAAAAGAAATTATGTAATTTCTTAAATAACACTATGCAATACATCAAACCTATTTAAAAATTTCCCATTAAATTATATTAGTAATATATGTTACTCTTTATTGAATACATTTAGGCTATATAATTGTTTTATTTTCCATTCAAATGGGTGTTGATTAATGATTTCAGAAATAAAAGCAATAGTAAACGTTCATTACAGTTTATAATTTGGATTATCCATGTCGAACGTTTCAATATTGTATTTTACAGAAATTCTTATATACTGAGAAGGGTTCGAAATTACAAATTGTCTGTTTGTCTCATGCAACCAAAAGTTTCTTTAATCTAACAAAGATTCTTATTTCTTAACCTTTTCTTACTTGGTGCTTATTTTAGCGAATTAAATTTTAATAGGTACAGTACATTTTAATACTATTACTACTAATAATAATAAACAAATTCAGTGTGCAGAAAGAACACAAGACGAGAAAATCAAACAAATTAAGCATTGGCAACTGGAGGCGAATTAGACGATAATAGCTACTTGTGTAAAGTGTACAACACTTAAATTAAATAAAAGCCCCCTTGTAAAGGTACTGTACATTGACGATGATGTTCAAGATTTCTTTTTATCTCTTGTCCTAATAAATGGCTTTTAAGCTCCAAGCAATAAAAAGAGTTTTACGTTTTGTAATAAGAATTGGTCTAAAGGAAACTCCAACTTGGAACTTTGTTATACTTTGCATCTCTGATATATTACAGAGCAGAAAAGTGATCAACGTGAATTATTAAAATGTTGTGCCTAATAAATTAATGTTCGTTTATTTACAAAAATCATTTAGGTTAATATTTTAGTCATCGAATCCTTTAAAGAGTGATACTGGTTCTGTCACCAGTATCACTCTTTAAAGTCGGAGTTATCAGCAGGGTTATCAGGAAGTGTAGAGGAGATTTCTACGAAGAAATGGGAGTAGTTGTAGGGTGTGGCTTTCGTTAGTGTGGTATTTCTAAGTTTCTCATCGTATATTTTATGACAGAGTCATTCATTTGATGTTCAAATTTCGGGTTCATAGCTGCATTTAATTTTGAGATCACACCAGAAACACCCTATAAAGTGAACTTCTTTGTGCTTATATTTTTTCCGTTTCTTGCTTTTTTTGCTCTGCTACGCTTTCTTCGATTTTCGGCCCCTTTTCCAAGTTAAAATCCTATTCATTCTTTATATGAAACTGTATCAATCTTTTTATTTGATGATTTCACGCAATGAAGTGTAATAACAATGACACAAGACTTTCTTTATATCTGTTTAATTCTCTTTCTTTATTTGCCAAGACGCGTTTCGGGTCTTTGTTTCTCTTCTGTCGGCTTTTTCCATTTTGGTGTTATACATTTACGAAAAAACTTAAATGCTTATACAAGTTTATATAAGTATCTTAGTGTTTGAAAGGCAAAAGCCACACTATTATACATTTTCGGAAAATTAAATGTATAATATCTAAATGAATAAAGACCCGAAACACGTTCGGCATATATATAAGAAAAAAGAATTAGAATGTATGACATATAGAATATATATATATATAGAATGTATAGAATGAATAGAATGTATAGTACTGTACCTTACGTATCACACATGTTTCCCATCCTGAAGTCTAAGATGATAATGAGTAAGGTATTCAACAGTCAATCCTCATTGATTATCAGTGTTATTTCTGGCATACTGTATAATTTTACTTTTTCAAGCTGTAAAATTTGCAACATATTCTGAATAAAAGAGCTATTGAAATCTCCAAACAATCAAAACTAACATCGAATTAAATTGAAATCGCCGAAACTGGTAAAGTGCCGATTCGTTACATTTTACACAGTGCATTTTATCTGTTCGTTGTATCTACAACGAACAGATAAATATCTTACATCATTATAATTTGTACTAAAGCCAAATATTTCACGTAAAAAAAATATAGAATAATATAAATTCAACCATCTATTTACTTTCTGCAGTTGGTTCCGGTTCAGCAGGAGCAGTCATAGCCAATAGACTTTCGAAACCACCAACCATTAAAGTTCTTCTATTAGAAGCGGGAGAATTGCCACCTTTAGCATCTGAAGTTCCATTTTCTCCTCTAAATTTAGCTCAAACAAAATACAATTGGAATTTTACGAGTGTACCTAGTAAAACCATAGGTCAAAATCTTAAAAATAGAGTAAGTGATTTGTAATAAAACATTTCTAGAGAATAAATTAATTCTGTAATTGAATCGACTTTATTTCTTTCCAGCAAAATAATATTGTAGCAGGAAAAGCGCTAGGAGGAACCACAACTTTAAATTATAACTTATTTGTCAGAGGAAACAAACGAGATTACGATAACTGGGCAAAACTTGGCGCCACAGGTTGGGATTGGAATAGTGTCTTTCCCTATTTTTTAAAACTCGAAGATAATCGAGATTACCGTTATGTACACAATGGTATATCTTTTTTCTTACTTTATTTTCATATAATATAAAACGTGGAGTAATTTAATAAAAAACAATGTAAAACAGGCTATCACGGTGTTGGCGGAAATGTTGTCATTAATACAGTACCTTTTCATGCACCAATAACAGAAGGTTATTTGAAAGCAGCCAAAGAAATTGGATATGATATTGGAGACTTTAATGCAGAGCCTCAGGCAGGTATGGTATTTTATTACTTTTAAATATAAAACACAGTTTTCAGTTAAAAATATATAAAATAAAATATCAGAGAATAAATGTAAATTTGAAAGGTAAAAAAGAAATATATTTTACATTTTCGGAATTAATTATGATAATAAGGTAAACCAAGGAGAATAAAAGTTCTGAAATCTGTGAATGTAAAACTACATTTTATTTAGAAAACTGTCTGGACTAGTGTTTTATCATACCGAACACAATACTGCTGTTTTTCTAAAAACATATTCGAAAAATCAAAATATAATCTTCTGCTAAAACAACGTATCACTCTTAGAAGTTTTGGTTCGTTGGCGAACATTTCATGAGCTTTCTCTACCACAGTTTACTCCATTATTTTTGAGTGATCACAGGTTATACTCATTCAAACTTCTGAACTACTAGATGCATCCGCTCATCTTAATTTAAGATTTCTTTGTAGAATCACTTAATTCTAGCATACCACACTATATTTTCAATATTATATGAATTTATATTTGTTTAATATATAAAACGTTTCAGTGTTTCAACCACCTCAGGGAACCATTAATAGGGGAGCACGTTGGGGTACTCTTAAAGCATACATTAATCCTGTACGCGGTAGAAGAAATCTCTCCATTCTAACTTCAGCATTTGTTCACAAGGTAACTCGTCTTCAACTTACGGTTTGTAAAAATAAATAAATAAATAAATACACTTTTTACATTTATAGATATTGATCCACAACAATCGTGCTTACGGAGTTAAATTCGAGCACCACGGTAAGTTGTACGAAGCTTATGCCAAACAAGAAGTGATCGTATCTGCAGGGGTCTTCAATTCCCCGAAACTCCTAATGCTGTCAGGAATTGGGCCAAAGCGTACTTTAGAGAGGTTCAATGTAATGACTGTTTTAGCCTAAAATTTTAATAATTTTTACACAAATATAACTTATAATATGAATTTTAGATTCCTGTTGTAGTAGATTTACCAGTTGGGAGTAATTTTCAAGAACATCCATCTACATTTGGTTTGTTTTTTGGAGCTAAAACTGTTACTTACTTGTCAGAACGTATTACAGTAGATCATTATAATGAATTCCTAATAAATGGCACAGGTAAGATTGAGATAAACACCTTATACAATACTTACTTTCAAATATTTTCAAATACTTGTTTATGTTTTTATACTATTTTAGGTCCACTGACAACACTAGGATCACTGGAAACAATTGGATTCGTAAATTCTAAATATAACGATGAACCTGATTGGCCAGATATTGAACTCTTATGGTTTACTCTATCTGCGGCATCGGATAAAGGTGAAATTTTCAGCCCGCCATGAACATTAAGGACGAAGTAAGTTTATTTTATATTGCTTTATAAACTCGTATGTAAAATGTATATAATTTCTTTATAGCTTGAAAGGGCTCAGGAAAATTAAAATTAGGGTTTCCATGTACTGTATTTCTTCAGACATTTTCCTTTGTGGGAATTTTTTGAAGGAAGTGTTTCCTTATAAAAAATTGGCTTAGACCACCTGTTGGTTGGAGGTAAACGCAATTGTTTTTTTTTTTGTCTATGAGATAATACGCTACTGTTTAGAATTATTTGAAATGAAAATGATTTCTGTTAAAGACGATAACAATTGCAATAATAATTGTTGTTCTATTTTACGTTTTAAGTTTATTTTTTGAATTTTTAATTTAATTTTATAATTGAAATCATTTATTTTTAGTCTTTTAACCCCTTTTTTTCATATCTTTCTATATATATACTTGTAAATAAAATAAATATATTTATTATTTATTTTTATTAAATTACACTTATTATACAATAAATATAATTCATATTAGAACACCTAATAAATTTAATTTAGAAAATATCATGAGTGTATATTACCCGCGTGATTGAGTGGCGAGCCTGTCCTGTATACGATAGAATAAGTCCTTTCAGCGTTGCTTTATTTCCACATTAATAATACATTAATGTCTAGATTTTTATGGCAGTATAATAGGAATAAAATTTCTTTTATTTAAAAATTTTCGAGTTTCGTAACTTTCCCGGTTGTTATGAGTTTTCAATAAAAAAAATAACTTTTATATTATTAATACGCAAAACTAGAAATGTGTGGTTGTGCCATCTCTTGTCTGATTTTC